AGCTTTAGTGTAGTTGTTGTTTTAAACTTGAGTATGAACTTATACAAAATGCAGCAAGATATTTAAAAAAACAGTTTTGTTGATTCAAACACACTATATCGGATTCATATTGGTATCGGCAGATATCCAAATTTATGATATCGGTATCGGACATAAAAAAGTGGTATCGTGCCATCTCTAATATTTATTGAAGCAACCTAAAAAGTGTGCATTATTACCTATAAAAAACCTGTGGTAGTTTCTCTTTAATCAGCATAGTTGGAAACAGCCTGCAAAGAGCCGGCTGCCAGTAATTGGCAGTAGGGGTGGGTTTAGAAAATCAGTTTTCCAATTCAAATCGATTTTAGCTTAAATAACGCAATATTGATTAATTAAATCCTGAATCGATTTTTAAATATAAATATATTTTGCCAGAAACCCAACAATCTCAGGTTAAAGCTCACAAAACTATTTCAGCAACAACCAAACAGCTAAAACAGCAAATGAGAGCAGGTAAATGGATTTCGCACAAAGATGTAAACACAAAGCGTGGATCATTCACCTGATGGCACGTACGCAGACCTGCCATCAGGTCTGAAAGCTGACATCTCACAGATTCTGATGCTGCATGTTTGGTCATAGTGATGGGATTTCCGGCTCTTATTAGAGAACCGGCTCTTTCGGCTCGGCTCACTAAAAAGAGCCGGGTCTTTCAGCTGAGAACCGGCTCTTCAGGTTGTCTTGTTGCTTTAATTAATTTATTATTAACAATAATATAAAATTATGCACAAAAGTAATTACTAATGTAAAAAAAAAGTGGTTTTATTTATATATGTTTATATATATGCGGTGGCCCCTAGAGACAAAGCACGTACAAATTCCAAAACACTAACAAACTCCAAAACACATTTCTAGCATTAACTGAACTTCCAAAACAGAGCTACCTAGATCACTTAAATCAGCAGTCCCCAACCCCCGGGCCTCGGACCGGTTCTGGTCCGTGAGTCGTTTGGTACCAGGCCGCGAGAGTTGAGGCTCAGGTGTGAAATGTATGGTTTTCAGAGTTTTTATCGGTTTTCAGCGTTATTGTCACAACGGGACTGAACGGACTCACGCGCAGGCTCTAGGTCTTGAAAGCACAAGAGTCTTTATTATGATACACCAGGTGATTATTTACAAAAGTGAGGGGAAAGCCGGGCTCCGGGGGTCCACACACGAACGGGAAAGACGCCGATAGTCACACACACACAC